TCAGATGTGTTCAGCTTGACGAAAAGAATCGACCGATATGCAGCATGACCTTTTCCGGTCAAGTCATGACCTTGACCTTAAGTAAAATTTTCAAAATTACCCCTCAAGGTCAAATTATAGTTCATTCAATGCGTTTCGACAAGAGGAATATGATGCTGCCAACAGCAATGTCGCGACTCTATTGAGTCAAAGGTGATTACAGAAATACACTATTATTTTCGTAAAACGGTTATTTGTGGAGTTCTTTTTCTCTCTAGAGGCTAAACTGTTGACCTGAGGTCACATCTGAGGACACATTACGAAAGAGCGTTAAAAAATGGCTATCGAACGCGCCTTTTCGCGGTGCTGTGGCTCTTTTTGGTTCCCAAGTTATGCGTCGGTTTTCAAAAACTTTAAACTATTGAAAGAGGTAAAATTTGACCTTTGATGACCTCTGGTGACCTGATCTTTGACATGATCTAAAAATGACAGGATTATTTTCTTCATTATTTTTGACTATCTAAGTGCCGTTTACCGCGTGTCGCTAGATGACCCGAGAGCCGAGTTAGACTGGGGCGCGAAAACGCCGTCCCCCCCCCCCCCCCCCAGCACTCCACGGAAAACTCGCACCACCAGCACGGCGCTGGATATGTGTGTTTAGAATCACACCCCTATGACCGTGTTACAGTGTTATGGAGAGTCTCACATCTCAATTGTTTCTGCATAAAAATGTGTTCATTTTTTAACCCTCACCCTGGCAGGTCATTTTTCATAACAAGGGTCGGGTCAAATGAGGTCAACTGAGGTCAAATGACGTTTGTGCCGATAACTTGTCACATAATAAAGATAAAGCTTTCAAAATGGTACCATTCTGTTCCTCTTGAACAGCCGAGTCGAATGATATGCAACATTAATGCCTCCTATGGCACCTAGAAACACCAAATTTGGTAGGTAGGTGGGCCTCCTGGAGTTCTCACCCCTGTGCAACGCTAAAACAGGTCAAAAGTTTTTCGCTTCTAACCTTTTATCTAATTAAGATAGAACAAAAACAAAAGCACCAGTGAACTCAGCACGTCAAGGCGCGTCGAACGATGTACTTTTTTTGCTTGCTTAGGTGTACTTGAAATACTAAGCACAACCTAAGTACAACTTAAGTCTTAAGAATGGTCGAAATGCTTAATATTTCATATCATTCGACTCGGCTGTTCAAGAGAAACAGAATGGTACCATTTTGAAAGCTTTATCTTTATTATGTGACAAGTTATCGGCACAAACGTCATTTGACCTCAGTTGACCTCATTTGACCTGACCCTTGGATAAGTACACCAAACAAAGAAGCACCAAGTGACATAATGTTAAGTACTGTGGTTTCAAACTTTCAAAGCACAAAAGTGATAGAACGAAGCGGATATCTTCAATATTTTCCGAATTGAATATTTTCCCATAGGCTTAACATTACGACGTAATGAACCAGTCTCTTCCGTCACTGTCATGTCATTATGTCACTGACCTCAGGTCAGTGACATAAAAACCCGAACAATATGTTATACAACTCGGTGAACTTAGTACATCCTGAAAGTTTGAAGGAAAGCAGTCCAAAACTGTGAGTTGGACAGGTGCATAAACAAATTGAAATTTGACCATGACCTTGTACCGGTTGTTCTGACCTGGTGACCTGACCCAAGGTCACCCGGACCTGAAATTTTCAGGTCTTATGTAAAATGGTTGCCCAAAGATAGCGCCGTTTTTACGCTATCTTTGAAAACCCTTAGGGGGGTGGGGTCGCATCGACCCCCCCCCCCCCCCCTGCCAGGGCGAGGGTTAACATCTATGATAGCTGCTTCGTTCACCATTGCTGTACTTGCTGGACGCTGCTATACTGGATGCTGCTGCAGATTTTCTGTAAACCCAGTGGCAAATCCTTGTGGCTCCTGGCCATCTTGTGCTAAATCTGCTGTTACATGCATGATTTGGTTGACGAGAATACAGAAGAAATATTGTGTAGAATCCAGTGTTTTTGTTGGATATGCTCGAGATTTTTTTTCGTCTGCTGGTTATTTATTACACTATAGCTAAACTGTGTCTCCGAAATGCGCGAAAGAAATAGGAAGAGACTGGTTCTTATTTCAGCCTCACAACACACGTCACGTCATAGCATCATAGTAACTTTTTTGCAATGATAACGGTATAAATGATCCATATTTGTTAAAATTCCAGCTGGAAATGCTCTGATTATGTCAGTTGGGGCTTGTGCAATGTGCGTCCTGCCCAAAATTAGGAGTGACTCAACCCGTATATTTGGGGTGACATCACACTCTTTTTGGAAAACTCCAGAATGTTAACTTTATCTACTCTAATATAAGTACTGTATTTGGGATGAGTACCTTTTTGGGAGTTTTGGAACCACTTAGCATGTCTCGTTTTCGGTGTGACATTACTCCACAGACAAATTTAAAGGAGTTTCACTTGCAGAACAGGAGTAGTGAAACTCCCTTTTGCGATCATAACTCCAGAATAAGGAGTAGTTAATAAGGAGTTTTATTACTCCTCTTAGGTTCCACTACTCCCTATTATTTTTCACTCCCTAAAAGGGAGTTTCAATTGCGTTTTACAAGGGAGTTTCAAAACACCAAGAGAGTAATGAATCGCCTTTTGATAGTTTTAGGGAGTTATGGATAGAACTCCAAAATAGGGCGAATATCTACTCTAATATAGGTACTGTATTTGGGACGTCAGAACCCCACCTAGGGGAGTAAATATTTTTTTCCGTGTGGCAAAAGGCCTGGTAGGATGGGCACGAGGAATGATCGAAATCAGCATAAAAATTATAAACAAGCCACACAGAGCGACCAATATAAGAGAAATTCCCCCAAAACGATCATGCTTAGAAACACGGAAGACAAAAACCACGCTCATGACGCTCCTTATAAAACAACGCTACACAGCTAGCATCCAAATAAAATATGTCTTTCCGGGCTGATAAAATACAACTGAATAATTTTAAACCACTAAAACTGAGTTTACACTAGTAGTTCGGTGAAATCACTGACGTTCCACGAGGTCGTGCGCCCCGACACCAAAAGTCAACAATATTACCTCGGGACTGTCCGCGTGTTCGCTTGCATATGTCAGCATCTGGTGTCGCTAATATGAAACTTCATAACCAGACGAAAAATATCATACTTGACCTCAAAATGTAAAAAACGCTTCATTTTCCTTAAAATTGCATGTTAAATGTAGAATAACCCATGTTTTCACCATTCCGTCATTTCAAAAAATCATTAAAAATATCATTCGACGGTCAATTTCCTTGTTCGACGGTCAGATTAAAGATAATTTTATAGAGACTTAGTAGATACTTAAATTAGCGTGCACTTTTTTGAGACGTGGTGCACTAATGAGATTTAGTGGGCGAACGGCCGAAAAATTACCTTCCGTTCTCATAAATGGGAACGCCAGTTCCCATATTAAAAATGGGAACGTTCCTATATTTGGGTACTCATGACCATAGTTCCACCTACTGAAATCCAGATATGATGATAAGGTAGGTGTCTCCAAAATATTAAAAAAGAAACATAACCAGACCTTACCTAACCTCAAACCTGACGCAATGATTTTGTCTAGGCATCCATGGGTAAGGAAGAAGCTTCAACAGTGGGAAATTGAAAGTACCATCATGTAGGTCGCCACGAGACAATTCTAATAGTATTTACCCAGTTTTAACCTTTGCCCCAGTGGGGGGGGGGGGCATTTGTTACCACCCTGTCCAGTTTTTTGCGTGTGAATAAAAAACTGGTGCGAAGCGCCTCACCGCTTGGAGTAGCTTGTAGTTCATCATTTTTTGACAACATATGAAATTTTTGACCCCAGGTTGAGGTCATGTCAGCCTGCCAGGTCAGGAGGAACAATAAAAATATTTCAGAATCGCAATGATTTGGACTACTTGTGGCAACAAAGGTGTCTTTGGCTGCTAGCCTGCCCTCTAGAAAAGTCATCAGAGATCATTTGAGGCTACAGTTTTTTCATATAAAGCCAGGATCTAAATGCTAGGTATAGGAGCACCTCCATTATTTTCCTGCTGCATTCTTGTTGGCAAACCATGTCATTGTCATTATTGAGAGATGTTTTATGGGTATTAATTCCATATGGAATATTCAATTATTGGAGGTGATAACTCTGCAACTTTGTATTTTCTTGCTACATAACTTCTCCGTTTTGTGCTTTCATCTAGTCAACTCAATGTGAACTGACAAAGGACATTGGACCCTATTCCAGATCCACCAGTGTCTGAACTACTGCCGCTCATGCGGGCTGCATCAATGTCACCAAAAGGACCAAAGTGGTCTCTGGGGGGCTCCGCTGACAGCGACGGGGAATGGGGTCCGTCACAGAGTGTGAGGAAGTCTCAGAGGCCGAGGAACTGCACTCCCATAGACAGTGGCTCTGAGAGCGACTTTCGGCCAGTTGTGAAGGAGGAGATAAAGATTGAAGTCACTTCACCAAGGGTACGTCTTCAAATGCATGGTGCTCACCTCTCATTGGTTTTTAGCTGCGAGGTTAATAAAAGGGAATGACAGCGGATAATGTGTTCCAATTTGTATATCTGTGGAGGATAAACATCTCATGTTTCATTGAATATTGTTCGTCTGTTGATCCGGTCTAGGTTGAGCGGCCGTCGTCTCCCTCGGTGTCGGACGACGATCCTTTCTCGGACCGCGCTCTGCATTCTTTAGTGAAGGAGGAAAAGTACCGACCTCGATCACCGTCACCGTCTGAGGACTTCATCGGGTTCACTGAGGTGGACCGGGACAGGTTAGGGCATGATTCAGTGCTGTTGTTGAAATTTTAGTTGTTATTTGACATAGTAGACAATGATATATTATCCTTGATGAATTCTAATAATATTTGCATTTGTCTGTTCTTTCAGTGCCTGTTTCATCTCCAATGCAAAAAGGAGTCTGTTACTTGGTTGTTCGTCTGCCATTCGAGACTCTACTGAAGGTAAGTTTATATATGTGAAGAGACTGTAAGCAATGGGTTTATCGTGATATCCTCGGTCTTACTTTTGTGCCCTTTTCAGAGAAAATGTTAGTTTTATTTTTATTTTTGGTTTCGTACTCTACAAAGTGATTGAATGGCATTATCGAACCATTCTTATGTTCAATCGCATGCACTCTATTGAACTGACGCGTTACCGAAATGCCACCGAATTGTGAGAAATATCGTTTCCATCTGCTCTGAGCGGCTAGTCGGCGACACTCATTATTTCCAGCGACGGGAAGCGCCCCGTCAGTCGGCCCGGAGGCCAAGGCCGACCAACCGGTGGCGGCTCGCTCGGTTCCTATCTCGCTGACCTCCACCGTTCGCCCACAGCAAAAACACTCGGCGAGGGTTAGATTGTGAAAAACTGAACGTGGTATCAGTAAACAACTGATAATGGGTTGACGACACACCAAGGGCAAACGACTGTCGGATAGGTATAAAACGGGCGCCAGACGCAGCAGCGACACACTCACACAGTCCACACCACACTCAACAACATCCACTCTCCAACACTATCACTCGACATGCACACGTAAGTATAAGAGAACGGGCGGTCTGCCCCAGCCAGCTCTCGGGGAGCTGCGCTGCACTATGGGGACGAAGGTAGCTGACCTTCCTCTTTCAGAAAGTCCGTCTGACAGGGACTAAGTCAACCACTCGGAAGTCGGTATGAGGTTGTACGGTTATGTTTTATCGTTTTCGGCTTGTCCTTTGGTTATCCCTTTCGGCCCTTTTCGATGACAGTGTCCGGTCTTATTTAGCTAACTTATGTTTCAGCCTGCCTGCTGTCGTGGAGCTGACGAGAAAGGCCATTGGCACGACTTGGCAGCTGCAGACTGTTCTTTCGGCACTTCCGGCTTCTTCATCAGCCTGCTCGAGTGCGATAGCAGCTCGTGCAGGACTGATTTTCGGACTCTTTCGGTTCTTCATATCGGCCTGCTCGATTGCCTTAGCAACTCCTGCAGAACTGATTTTCGGCCTTGTTGGTTTCAGTCTCATCTTTCGGCTCATTTCAATATATCTACTTTTTGTTCATGTCTGTGTGCTGGTGGAATGGATAGTGTTAGAAGAAGAGGAAACACACACATACATAGATCTTGTTTTCAGTGCAGTAGTTAATACCCCTAGACAACACATAGAGTAATACAGGGTGCGGCAAAAGTTTTGATACCTTACCATTCATTCCCTCCCTCCCGTAAAATTAAAACAACAGTTTCATTTCAGCGGTCAATGTATTCTCCACGAAGCTGGACACAGAGTGAGAGACGTGCGGGCATGCTGGCCACCAGGTTCTTCAGAGTCTGTGGGCTGATGTTCGCCCACGTCCTCTTGAGCGCCTTCTCGAGCTGTCCAAGGTTGCTGGGAGGTTTTTTCTTGTCCAGCTCCTGCTGCATTATCCCCCAGAGCTCTTCAATTGGATTCAGGTCAGGGCTGTTCCCTGGCCACGTGTCCTTAGCCCAGAAGTTGGGGAGGTGCTCCCGGCACCACTTCTGCGCTCTGGCAGACCGATGAGCCGGAGCGCCATCCTGCATGAAAATGCTGTCCGACCTGCGCTCGACCATGCGGCGCGTGAGGACGGAGCCCGTCGTGGCCGTCCTGTTGATGGCAGGGAGGCAGACTTCCTCGAGGATGTGCTCCACGTAGTACTCGGCATTGACCGACGTCTTCTGCGGGATCACGTGCAGCTGGCTCAGTCCCTCGTAGGACATCATGCCCCACACCATCAGTTTCGGCGGGAATTTGACGCTGAACGCCTTCGGGATTTCAGCCGGGTTCTCAGCCCACACTCGCTCGTTCTGGCGGTTTGGGTGGTGGAAGAGTTGAAAGGGAGACTCGTCGCTGAAGAGTACCCGTTTCCACTCTTCCACAGTCCAGTTCTTGCGTACCTTGCAAAACTTAAGCCTCTGTGCTCGCTGTTTTTTCCGTTAATTTTGGCCTTACGCGGATCTTGTAGGCCTTCAGTCCAAGGGTGTTCCTCCAGTACCGGCGGACAGTCCTCTCGGACACCGGATATTTCTTCCGAGTGAGCTGTTTGGACAGCTTCCTCGCCGAGTGGCCAGATTTTCCAGCCGCTTTCTTCATCACGATCTTGGCGACGGTCGAGATGCTGGAAGGGCGCCCTGACCCCGGTCTATCTGCGACGCTCCCTGCCTCCTTAAACTTCTTCCACCAGCGTTTGATGGTGAGGACTGGGACCCCAAAGTGTGAGGCAACGTCCCTCTGCGTCTTGCCGGCTTGGAGCATACCAATGGCGCGGCTGCGAGCCTCCAAAATGTATTGTTTGACCTTCATGGTTCGGCCGTGGCTACTGCAGCGGCCACCGGGTGGATAATGACCCCGGCCGGCGACCCTCTGGGTCGAGGTCAGCTGTTCAGCTAATCCCCGCCTCGGGGAAGGATGCGGGTACGCAAGGGCGCGCTCAGAAATGTCATATTCGGGGGCATGTTGGAAATGCATTGAGTTATTACAAAAAGACGGAAGGTATCAATACTTTTGCCGCACCCTATATAGTGAAGGACACAATCCCCTAGACATACCTAGCGATAAGAGCAGCATAGCAGCATATACAAAGGGACAACTTTCAAATTACAGAATTATTTATTACCCTGTTGAATTCATTGCAGTTTTTACTGAAGGAGTGTTCATCAAGAGTCAACGTCTCGTCATTAACTACCGAGATGTGGACGGTCTCGATGATAATAACATATGTAAGTATTCTCCCGATTTTAGTCAGCTACCTTGTCCTCATCAACGGACGAATGTACACGATAAGCACTCATATTGCAGACAAATTAAACCGAATACAGACGCATTGTTTCCGTCTAACGGAACCTTGAACGATTAAACCTTGGTCTGCTCTTCATCAAATCGCTAATAATTTTTTCGCCCTTCTTTCTGACAGTTTGTGACGTGTGCTGCCGCGATTGGGACGGTGAATGTCCCGTCCATGGACCGCTGAAGATCATACACGATACCAAGGTAAGGACTGGTCCATACTGGTCTGATTCGTATTCTTTACAGATGACTCCTCTCACATTTAGACATTAAATAATATGACCGATTGTGCCTGATGCCCTAGTGACGGAACGACATGAGCTTCATGTAAAAATGATCTATTTTTTTTCACATTTACGAAATCCTCTTCCTTATAGCATGGATGAAGTATTTGCTCTAATCCATGCTCATAGTTATATTATTGCTTTGCTTCTGTCTTGTTAGCAGGTAATACTGTCATGGGTACGTGGTCAAGAACAGGTTCATGATCTATATCCACAAAACAACCCCGTCTGATTTACAAACAGGCTTAAGATAATCTCAATGCGTGGATTGTATTGTCGACATTGCGCCCCACATGCGCTGAACATTCCAGGCACGACCCGGTATCGGAGATGTCGACAGGGACGTCAAGACCCTGCCGCCTTCTCTCAGCTCTGGTCAGTCGACAAATCCAGCGTCTGGCACCGGTAAGTTAATGAGGCAAGACAAATGGCGATGCGTAACAACTGCTGCTGGACGTTTGATGCATCATTTGGTGATGGTTGCTTGTATTGTATTATTTCATGTCCCATGTATCAGTACATGTTGTGTCCATTTAGTTGAGGTGAAGGCTTGTATTTATTTGATTCCAGGAGTTTTGGCGGAGAAGGACATACCTGCGCGCCAAAGACTCGGTCCTTACGAGGGAACCTTGACCACCGAGCAGGGTCAGGCCCGAAGTCGAACAACCGGGTACAGATGGCAGGTCAGTTCAGTTGTTTTGTTTTGCAGGTAAAAACGCATGTTTCCACTTAAGACTTGCTTCAACGATAAAAACTATAAAAACATTTTAGACCAATGTTGGCTACATGGGAATTTGATAATGTTTCCATTGCGTATGTCATATTTTTACTTTGTTCTTTGAATTGATGAACTATGTTTTTGTTTGGTACTACAGATCAAGAAGGGTAAGCGCGTGCATCACTCGGTGAATGCCGTAGACCCGAGCTGCAGCAACTGGCTCAGAAGGGTCAACTGTGCCCGCTCGGAGGAAGAACAAAACCTAGTGGCCTTCCAGTACCGGGGCCAGGTATACTTCAGGTGCGTTGTAGTCTTGGAATCCACGGATCTATTCTTCCTAACTGCGTTACGTATTTTATGCGCGGTTCGTCCTGTGGCCCATATTTTTCTTTAAGGGATTCGTCGAAGTTATTAATGACAGTGTAAGTGTTGTGACTACACCAATCAAGCTTTCATCAATAATGCTATATTTTTCTCCCTATGCAGGACGTCAAAGGCCATTCCGCGGGGCTCTGAGCTGCTGGTGTACTACGGAGACGACTCGGCCCGGGAACTGACCGTCCACTCGGAGACGTCTGGGGAGTCTGTGACTTCCTCTCCGGCCGGACCGTCATCTTCAGGTCAGTTCATCGTTTGCGGCTCCGAGACCTATGGTGTCCATCGAAGTGACGCTGGTAATGCCATTTACCCTTCTGCCGACAGTAGACTGTTTTTTGCCCGGTTCGTTGAGAAGTTCTGCTACTTTGACGTATGCAGGCACGACGTTTATATGCCAACTTACATGGGCTCGGTTCGTAACTTGAACTGACATTTCGGCTTGCGACCTAACCGAGTTAGGTCGTTCTATGCTAAAGCAGGTCGCATAATGCGACCTGCTTTAGCATGGGACGTTTTTTTTTTTTAATGGCCTTTTTTCTGTGTATTCTTCAGGCATCAGTGGCTCGGTCCAATGTCCCCAATGCGGCTTCAGATGTTTGGGAAAACATTGTCTGGACGGACACGTGAAGACAAGTCACGGCCATATGGGCAGGAACGGCAGATTGAAGTGCGAGTGGTGTCAATACTCGACCGACAGAACCGACTGTATGAAAAACCACCGCAGAACTCACACAGGGGAACGGCCATACGGCTGCTCCATTTGCAAGGCACGGTTCTCTAGGCGGTCAGGTCTCACCGATCACATGCGGACCCACACGGGAGAGCGGCCATACGGCTGCTCTATCTGCACGGCCCGGTTCACAGGACGGTCCAACCTCACCACACACGTGCGAACCCACACTGGGGAGCGGCCATACGGCTGCTCTATCTGTACGGCACGGTACACCAAACCGTCCACCCTCACTATACACATGCGGACTCACACTGGGGAGCGGCCGTACGGCTGCTCCATCTGTACTGCACGGTTCTCTGTTCGAGCAAGCCTAAACAACCACATGCGGATTCACACAGGGGAGCGGCCATACGGCTGCTCCATCTGCAAGGAACGGTTCACTGAACGGTCAAATCTCACCAGACACATGCGGACCCACACTGGGGAGCGGCCGCACGGATGTTCACATTGCCAGGCTCAGTTCGCTAGGCGGGAAGATCTCAACAAACACATACGTACCCACACGGGGGAGCGGCCTCACGGTTGCTCCGTTTGCACAGCACGCTTTGCTAAACAGCAAAACCTTACGACACATATGCGGACCCACACTGGAGAGCGACCTTTCGGTTGCTCCATCTGCAAGTCACGGTTCACTCGACGGTCACACCTCAATACGCACATGCGAACCCACACTGGGGAGCGGCCGTATGGCTCTTCACATTGCCAGGCCCAGTTCAATGAACGGGGAAGTCTCAGCAAACACATGCGTACCCACACGAAGGAGCGGCCGTAAGGCTGCTCAGTGCTCAACTTGCCGGGCTTTGTTCGCTCAACGGAGAAGTCTCATGAAACAAATGCCTACCCACCCGAGGGAGCGGCCATATGGCTGCTCAACCTGCACGGCACGGTTCGCTTCGCTTCGCTGTCAAACCTAACCAAACAGATGCATAGGTGCTCACACTGGGAAGAGGCCGTTTGGCTGCTCCATCTGCACTGCACAGTTCGCTCAACCGTCACGCCTCACTAAACACATGCGGACCCACACTGGGGAGCGGCCGTACGGCTGCTGTTTCTGCAAGGCACGATTCATTGTTCAATCAAGTCTCATCAGACACATGCGGACCGACGAGAAGAGCGGTCCACATGCGTCCGCCTTCCGCAATTTTAAAACATTAGGTATACTCAAACCTCTGTAAAACTGTGGTGGTATATGCTGCTTTGCGCGCAACATCTGCCGCACTGTTAAGATACCATCTTTCTTACCGACACAGACCGTGCTCTTCTTCAGTCCTTTGCGTTGAAGTTTTGCTGCTCTGATGTATGTTGGCTTAAAGTTTACTTACCTTAATTTAAAGCTACGTGGGTTTGGTTCGTTGGACTGACATTTCGGCTGGCGAATAGCAATCGGTCCTGTTAAAGACTAGGTCCACTATGTCGATTCGATTGTTTCGGAAAAAAACTTCTATCACATCGTTTAGTAGCCTTTATTTGGACCTTTATCCCTCGCCGGGCCGGGGGATGGGGTAGTCGCCTCCCCCGTCCTCTTTTTCGCAGACATCTAAAAAGCGGCTGTCGGAGAGGCCAGTGTCAGCCAATCAGCATCCAGCTGTTTTTTTTTTAAAGAACGCAATATGATTGGTGAACGCGTAATATCCTCCGCCACCATATTTAGTCCCAACGGAAGATATAATATAATTCTTCGTATACCTGTTATAAGGAAAAAATCATAAACATGTTTTTAATCGGCATCATTTTTGTCATAAAATAATCATTTAACTGTACAGCAAGAAAAAATATATATTTGGGAGTGGTATATATCCTTAAAGGACTGCTGAGGGGAACGATTTTACCTTTTAAAATGGTTTTGAATAGTTGATGGCCGATGGGTAGGGAAGATTGGGGCAGATAGTGTCACGGGGCACATCCTGTCAGCAGGGTTTTCTCGAAAACTATCGAGCGCATTTATGTTGTTGAAGTTAAAAGGTTTGTTTTTGCTTGACAAAGTCCGGTACCATCAATACAACAACGTGCCGGTGACCAGGCTGTAGTTACTGGCATACCTGTAACGTGTTCGTTTTTCGTGATGTCATCGTGTGAATTTGCCTTTTTTATGAGGTACCCAATCTCTTTAATTACTTAATTGTTTTGGGATATTGCGTAATATTCAGGATCAGTCTAACGAAACAAGATTTCAGTGTCTAAAACTATCAAATGGATGCAGTTTTTTACTCCCGAAGAAGTGTGCACCATGACATCAGCATTCTCTCGTGACTCCACTTAGTACATATTTATCGCCTTGCCTGTGGCCATGTTGGATGAAATGTAAAAAGTTTGTATTTGCAACGGAAATCCAAACTTTTTGACAAGAACAAAACGCTAGTTCATGACTGTACACCGGAACAGATAGCGTGAAGGTGGCATTGAATACCGTTTCGGGTAGTCTTGAATGTCAACATTTTTTTTCTGAACATATTGTCCATGTTGTCGAAGTTTTCAATAAGAACCACAACATTTTTATTGACATCGAGTGGGGCACATAATGTTACTCAATCCGCATCTAGCCCATCTGTTCAGCATTGTTGGAATTTATGCAAGCTGCTGCATTTTGAGGAGCTGCATCAAAAACCTGGGGCTCTTGAGCCATCCTTGCGTTTGGGGACATTACATTTCATAGGGTGTTGCGGCACCCATGCCTTTGTGGACGTTCAATTTTCATCTGTGTCAGCCAACCGATCTTGTCCTTTACGTGTTTATCGGCTGGTGACTGTTTGTTCCACCACCGCTACTCGACGTCTCTTTACGTCGTGACCGCATGTCAGGCATCGGTCAGTACCTTCAGTGGCTCTCAAACTTCTTCGTCCAGATGCGGACGGCACAGCTGGCGCCCTAATCCTGCTTCACCGACAACTAATGCATCGCTACTAAGGAAGCGATGCATGTCCTTCATTGTTTATATTGAGTATCACCCAGGATGAAATCATTTTAGCCTGATTTTTCATATCTGGCCAGAAACATTGTCGACATCGCTCTTCTCTCAATGTGTTTCACAGGTGTTGGTCGCACACTTCAGTGTCCCCACTGCAACGTCAGATGTCTGGGACAACAACATCTGGACAGACACGTGAAGATAAGTCACGGTCACATCGGCAGGAACGGGAGATTCAAGTGCGAGCGGTGTAAATACTCGACCAACAAGCCCACCCGTAGGAAACACCACCGGAAGACTCACACGGGGGAGCGACCCCACTGCTGCTCTATCTGTACGGCACGGTTTGCTCAGCGGTCCACTCTCACCACACACACGCGGACCCATACGGGAGAACGGCCGTATGCCTGCTCCCTCTGCCATGCACAATTCTCTGACCAGGCGCACCTCATCAGACACAAGCGAACCCACACTGGGGAGAGGCCGTATGGCTGCTCCCTTTGCAAGGCACAATTCACTGAACGATCAAAACTCACCGGACACATGCGAACCCACACTGGGGAGCGGCCATACAGCTGCTCTATCTGCAAGGCACGGTTCTTTGAACGGTCACATCTTACTGCACACATGCGGACCCACACTGGGGAGCGGCCGTTCGGCTGCTCCATCTG